TGAAGGACAAAGAAAGGCATGGCACTTATTAAGGAGCACCGTGAGAACGTGCTCAAAATTGGAAAAAGGCATTTGTCATATCTGGCTGTATTTCATTCGAACTTGGCATTCCTGCACGTTTTCAGTGACAGTTCTCGCATTTCCATCGTTTTATTTCTTGTCTTTTTTCTGGGGACGTGAAGAAATATCCTGGCCCAATCGAAGGCTAGGATAATTCATCCCGTCCCCATATTTTAAGCTTAGTTAGAGGAGGTGACAAGGGCACCGGATAACTCCTGGCACAAGACAATGCAGAGCCTTTAGCTTCCACTTCGCAGACGCAGGAAGTCCTTGAAAGGACAAGGCTGCTAGAGGCGTCATGCCGGGTTTTCCACTACTTAATCAAGCGTGGCAATGAAGGCTGGAGTTACTCTTCTCCGATCAAGTTCGCTGAAGTATGTCCTGGGAGAGTCGTCGTCTGTTCAGCTGCATTCTCTGACCCAAGCCGTTCATGCCCTCTTTACGTCGGTCTTTACGTGTATGTACGCAGTGGGTAATATAATCGCTTTGCATGCCAGATATGCTCGGTCTGGAATTCATAATGAGACTCGAAGAGAAAGGGTCCCTGTGCGCATATAGTTAAGGACCCCAGGAGGTGAGTGAGTGAACATTGCTCTCGAAGTCTCGTATGGCTCGACCTTTCTATTTGCTCTTTGGAGCTCTTGGAGAGGATGACAAGCTCCAAATCGGGCACTCCCTCCAGCAACCACGGGAAAACGTTGGTCTAGTCCCGTTCCATAATCGCCTTGAATAAAGTTTTCACCTGGAAGACATTCCTATCATGGGCGGCTCTTGATATTCAGCAGTATAGTGTATCGTCAATTGATGCAGGATAGGCCCGGACCTACCTCCATTAAGAATCCTCTACTGCTGAATGTCACGAGCTGCCACTAATTCCTTTGCTTCCATCGGTTACGTCTCATCGATAAGATGGTAACGGATACACGTGGAGACAGATATTTTCTCTTCGCCTGATATAAATTACTGGAACCGTATGAAGCCCATCATCGACATTTGTTACTTGGTACGTGTTCTTAGTGAAAAAAAAACTCGCTCATTTGCACCCAGGCTTTCCCAATTGAGTACAAAAGCCATTTTTGTTTCGCTGGAGCCTTGGGGGCGTGACTGTCACATCAGCCCAATTTGGCACGCACTTATTTTTGTGACCTGAGAATCGTATAACAAGGCTAACAAGTGGATGGGGATTAACACTGGTAAGGAGAATTCTAGAAGTATTTTTTCTTCAAGGATTCAGGATGAAAAACTGAGAACCGTTGCTTAATCGGATTTTCACTTTGCAACTCGGTCAGCCTCGTAATACCTACAACAGCATTGTAGGATCACCTGTCGGAGAAAACGACCCCGTTCCTTGGGCTTGGGATTACACGAAGTTCACCCCTTTTCTTCTCGATAGGCTGCATTGTTGGTCAAACAAAGGCGAGCTCTTGGCGGGCACGGAGAATAAAAAAAAATCCGGTTCCGCTGGCTAGGCCGAGAGAGAGGGAGAGAGAGAGCGCCTCCCTACCTCCTGTTTACCTGAGCGCCTGGATGGCCGCAGGCGTTAGCCTTGCTTGGTTGTCGAGAGAGAGAGAGGGAAGGAACGGCCTCGAAAAAGAAAGCCGTCCGTTCGTCCCTCTCAGTGTTGGAGTTCTATCCACCACGATCGCGTGAACCATTGTGTCGCTCGAGACCAGAGAAATCTTGTTGGTAGTGTGTACTCCCTGTCTACATGCCCTATACGAGCTGGGCTTCTTCATGGTCAATGAGACCCAGTTGCGTTCCGTTATCATATCGCTGGGGTCGAGATGAGGGTGTACTCCGTGTTTGCTGCCTCGATCTCCCTTCCCGCGCTACGCCGTGATCCATGATTGTGGAGACTCGCGATAGACATGCTGACATGTGATGCGCAACAGTATGGCCCTCGAAGACGTGATCGTATCTGGTTGGAATCCTGTGTCTTTAACCGATATTCAACCATGCACTCAAGATGATTGTGGGAGTTGTCACTTGAACGAATCGACGAACATTACGGAGACTTCCACTGTGCCAAAGCCTTCTTGACAGTTGCATGGCGTGTAGTGGTGCTCATGACAAAAAGCCATGAAAGCTGTCACATTGCACATATTGTTAGTGCAGCAATTGTTCATGTGGCACGTAGGAATCTGCTCAACTGATCTGTCACAACGCGCACACTCAAGATCCAAGGATTTCGTCCGCGGAAAATGTAGGTTTTTTCCTTCCTCACTGGAATCATGATGTTGAGATCTTGAGAAGAGTGTTATACGTAGCATCAGGAGTGTCACATTGAACCGAGACCGCATACTTGCTCATCATCTTCCATGCTCGTCTTGCGCCTCTTCATGCTTAACCTAGGTCATTGTGCTCGGCAACAATTTCCTTCCGTATTCTATTTCATCAGCATTGTTTCCTGTTTGAATATTTCTTCAGCAAGCATCCCCTACTTTCGTAGAATATACGTGGTATCGCTCACATTCGTTTTTGGCTCGGATTTTTATGACATGCAGTGCATTCGATTTTAATTCGTTTCGTCGAATTTTCTCGAACTTTGCCATGATGACATTGTAACTTCCATCGACTCTCCATGAAAGACTACGAAAGAACAACATTGTAGGCTTAGAATATCTGCACGAATGTTCAGGGTTGGTTCTGTAAATTTTTGCTCAGTGACAGGTCAAGCTTTCACATCCACGTTCTTACCACTGGCTTGTAATCTTGACAAGTGGCATCTTATCAACCACGATACCGTTTTGCTTTATCCATTTGTGATGACATAGAGCGAAGTTGGAGCACCTATTGCTCGTCGACACATATGGTTGAAGAATGGTTAATTCCTGAAGGATCTAACGACTATGTGGTGAATAGTCTGTATCATGAGCTGGCAAGGTCAAGAGCAACAGGCATTTTATTTTAATACTGTTGCTGTCACCCCCTTGAACGCAAGAAGGCAGTTTCCTCCTGGAAGGCAAGACATATCTAGCCAGCGTAACCTCCCCGTTAACCACAGGAGGTCCCAACTCTCTCCCTACGTGACTGAGCGCATTTCCATTGTGGGCTTGATTTTTTGGGTCTGTCAAGTAAGAACAATGGTTTCGGGATGAGACTGGTCATCTTGGTGGCCCAAGAAGGGGTGATAGGATGACCTTCTACGAAGGGATGGCCTTGGGGATATGGAGAGATCCTGCACAGCTGTTGTGGGGACCTCTCCCTATGACGCCTTCCATTCATGCTTATTATCGTGCAAATGCGTCTTCTTATTTTTTAAATATTCTTAACTCAATTTACCCCTTGGCGAAATGAAATCAAAGGAAGGGAGAGAGGAATTGTTTATGATCGCAGAATACAAGTCTTAGAAATGACGCCTCGGGAAGTGTTTCTTAAGTATCCCATGTTGTCAACTTGGCGCCACCCATCGTCAATGACCACTTGTTTACTTTGGATTCCCTCGCCGCATCTGTAGTCCTGTCAGGACGGTTTGTTTTCACCTTAGACAGACCCAAAGCCCAAAAGGCCTGAGGTGGTGGTGAGATCACCATCTATTCAGATTTCAGATCTGTTCTAGATTTCTGTGATGAGTCGTCTCAGGAGGATTGATATTTCAAGAAACCATGGCTATCAACACGGAGGGGGAGAGATCACTCCGTCCCTTCTCGTTTCTACATGTGTGTCATCAGTATGGGGAGGTTGTCTTCTAGGCATATGGATTTGCGCTTTAGCGAGACAGAAAGGTCGATGGGGGATCTCGCTACTACGGGCTCGTTATTGCTTATTGGTGAAGATGGCGTTAAAAAGGAGACTTCTGGAAAGGTGCCCATTTTGTTTTTGCACAAGAACGTCTCGTTACGAGATCGAGACATCTGGTGCACTTAGCAATTTAATTGATTTACAATGTTGGGCTGGCTAGAATGTGTTGACTAGGTTCTTTCCACCGTTGGCTGAGCCACAGCCAGGCTGAAACATTTCTAGGACAGGTTCGAGGTCCATATTCTGTGCGCACATCGTCGTCCATTGAGAGAAACTTAAATTAAAAAAATACCTCTTTTTTATTACCGTATTGACAAACGTCGTTTATTTTTTGGAATAGGCAGTCTTTATGTCTACGTAAATAAAATTTGGGAGATTTACTTGATAGCACTACAGGGCTGATCTGAACGGTAGACGCACATAAATACAGCAGAACGATAGAAAGCTACAGGAGTTTAGGATTAATGTACAACAATAAGCAAACATGTAATCTTGGCGATGAAAACAATAGTCCGGTCAACCAATTTGCCTATATGGTAAGTGGCACTCATTTACAATTAAATTTCAGGAATTCCATGTCTTATAATGAAGAAACGTTGGGTCAGTTACCGATTTCCCCCCGCTCCCATCACATTTCATCTTCCAGAAGATTCCATTTTTGACCCAGAAGCGAATATGATGTAAAAGCGACTCCATCCTTGAGACAAGAATCTGTGTTGCCTCAGATCTTGACTCTAACCAGCCTCGATCCCGATCTGGAGTTGCATTCCTTCACGATATAGTTAATTGCATTAAAAAAAATAGCACATTTATTATGTCCGTGAGATAGGCCAATAAATAATCTCTCTCTCTCTCTGGATCGAATGGAATGACGTGTTTTCTGGAAACTACTAGGAGGGGGCGAGCCCGTTCACCTTCGGGACGTCGTGAACGCGTGCTATGAATCCGTGATTTAGATATTGATCTGGTCGGTCGATGAAATTGAAGCAGGAAACGCAGAGAACCCGCCCTCCCATTTCAAGGATAAGCATGTGAAGTGCGATCAGAGTTCTATCACTACGTAGGTGAGACGAGTGACAGAAACGAAAAGTGAAGAAATTTTATTATGCTAGAATATGAAGTAGCGCTAGGATGCGTTGAGAGTGGAACATGAACCGGTTACCAAGATTGCGCATGGCCAGACTTTCACCTCATCTGTCATGCAAGGAAGGGTTGGGCGAGGCGACAGTGGCTGCCGTGTGTTGGTCAGACATGTCAACCGATGCATGGATGCTATGCAGTATGCAAAAAAGTGCGAGCTGTCTGGAAGGATCCTTGAGCCTTGTTACACGTGCGTGAACCCGGCCACCCAGGGAACCAAAGGTGTGGCTTTTGCCCTTCCTTTCATCATCGTCCACAGCTGCAGCGCAGGAAGCTCCTAGACCTGAATTCGAGACGTGACGTGACACAATGACACGTTTAATGATGCCATGTCTAGGGAGTCTCCTGATATCGGGCAGCCTGGAATCGAAAAGGAAATTTCGAAAGTCTCTTCCAGCTGGGCGTATACCGCTTAGGAAACCAGTGTGGGTGTACCTGTCATATTGGCTGGTTCTTGCCATTAATAGGGACCCGGTAAAGGACTTCTTTATGACCTGCAGTGTTCGAAATTCATTGTGTAAGACATAAGTTTGGAGTTCCTCACAGCGCTCCTCATAAACTGGCATGTCCAAGAGGTTTATGGAGAGGGGCAAGGACATGATGTTACTTGTGATAAACGCCGATGAGGCATCCTAGGGGCCCTTGAATATCTCTCCACATTTCCCACAAGTAGGTTGTTTGTAAGCCCAGAGATACGGACTTCGATGGGATCTACGTCCTTTCTCTCTCTCTCTCCTTCTCTCTTTCCCTCTTCTTTCTCTCTTCTTTCTCTCTTTGCGGAAGATGGTTGCGACGCAATCTGGTCCCCTTTCATCGAGGAGACAAGCAGCGACAGCGTCAACGCTTACGAAATGTCTCCCCATCCCATTTACATTTCATGCAGGTTCATTAAAAAGTATGTTGTACCCAGCGGCATTACAACTGCAGAAGCAAACCCCGTCCTTATTCTTTCTCTTGTGAAATCTGTAGTTGGCCTTGAAGAACTCGCTTTGCTTGCATCTCGCTGAACCAAAAAGAACATACTATAAACTTTTTTTTTTTCCACATAGAATCCACTCCTGAGCCACCACGCTTCAGAGAACTTGGCGTTTGTCGTAACCTCTCTGGAATTCAATGCTCGCAATTTAGCTTGGGTTTGAGGAAATATGCTCCGCAGAGGAGTTCCGAATTATTTCGAAACTGGTCGTCAGCGAGGGGGACGGTAACAAGAGCGACAGAAGGAAACGTTTATCGTAGTGACTCTGTTTCATATGGTAATAAAGCCAGTCCTGTTGTATGCACTTGCTTACAGTGCTTCCCTGTGCAAGTGGTCCATTCCTGTACTTTTAATCATCATCGTTCCTTTAGGGATAGGGTTTCCGAACTGAGCCCCGCCCCACAAGAGCAGAATGGACTGTTCAATTTACCGGCGTGCCTTAAGGCATCTTCATGCCGAAACAGACCAAATATTGTCAAAACGAGATTCGATTTCTTATCGCCTTCAGAAGTATCTCGACATTGGTTATGGAAATTTCATGTTTTCGTTTCACTTTTTTCCCCTCAGTGTGCATCGGAACCAACGGGAGGATGTCGGTGCCAAGTAACAAGTCCCATCACTACCGGAACTTGAGAGACCGGTACACAAACTGTACCTACGTGGATGGGAACCTAGAGATCACGTGGCTGAGTGACGACTCTTTGGATCTCTCCTTCTTGAACTACATTCGCGAGGTGACAGGATACGTGCTCATATCACATGTCGATGTGAAGCGGTTAGTGCTTCCGTCCTTGCAAATCATCCGTGGGAGGACCCTCTTCAAGCTCAATGTCCACGAAGAGGGAGATTTTGCTCTCATCGTCACCTTGTGCAAGATGCACAGCCTGGAGATGCCAGCTCTCAGGGGTGAGTCCTTTCAAATTTCGATGCTTTTTGGGGGGGAGGGGAAAAACCCAGACAGCACCATTTTCTTTTATACTTATCGCTAGCTCTTTTTTGCCTCCACTGACCCTGTGAGGGTTGTCAGACTTGATCGGTTCCTCGTGATTGGAGCTCGTCGCTTTGTCGCTTTGCTCGAAGACAACAAGCGTTCGACTGCCCGCGGCAAGGCAGCTTGATCTTGATGCCTGATGGTAAAACTTCCCTAATTGCCTCGGACTGCCATGCTTCGCCCTTGTTTTCTTGTCGTGGATTCCGGTGATGGACAATGACCCTCCGTAATGGGGAAAGGGAAACTGAAAACTTCTCCAGTAGAAAAACCTGTTCGTCCACCATCAGAGATGCCGTGAGACGGCAAGGGTGCTGATTGAGAATTGCTCTTTGCATCATTTCAGTTTGAAAATTACGATGAACCCAATCCGCTATTTAGTTCACCTGCGCCTACCCTATTATCTTATTGTTCTCGGGGATGAGGAAAGGAAACAAGTAGACTTCCACGCCAGCTTTGTTGTTATCATAGTTTTGACTCGAGTGGGCGTCGAATCCGCTAGGAAAGGGCCACATAAGGAGGTGGGGAATGAGTGTTTGTCCTAATCATGTAGCTCTTTTATTATGTTCACCTATTGTGAACTTTTCAGTAATAATGAGTTCTTATGGTGGGGAGCCCCGAAAAAGGGGGAAAGAGAAAGAGAGAGAAAGAAAAAAGAGAACACCTGCATACTATTATACAGAGGCCAATGAGGCCGAGGGAAGGCAAGGGCGCATTCCAAGCACAGGAGGGGCTAGGGCAAGTCGGTGCTTCCATCCGCACACATTCCATCTACCTGTATAGAAGCGGCGAAGGAAGAGCCGGTGGAGGAAGGAGGCTAGCTTAGGACCTGGGCTCAGGCTGAGCATGTGCTTGGGCCTTTGCCCAGCATCTAGCCTCAGGCTGTAATTCTCTCCCTCTAACCCCCCTTACCCCCCTCCCCCCTCGTTCTCTTCTCTTACGCGTCCTCCAATGCGCTCCCCCTCGTTTCAGTTGGTCAGTCCTATGGGTTCAACCATCTCCTCTGCCCTGTTCCTTAATAACTGCTTTCAGACCATCCCTTCCATCGGCAGCTGCCTCGGGCTGACATATCATGCGTTATGAACAGAAGAAAGGACCCCGAGTTCAATGATGAGCTAGCTTATGAAAGCTTCCCTCCCTTTCCATATAAAGGCCGTCATCTTCTGCCCGGAAGGTTCTTCTAGCATCCCATTCTAGCTGACCCAACCTTGACCAGAATTAGCAAGAAAGCGTTGGAAATGGAAGGTATAGGCTTGTCTTTTACTTAGTGGACAGCTTTCTCTAGATCTCTGGGAGGACTCGAAATAATTTCCCTTTGACGTGGGTGTGAGGTGGGGCAAAGGTGATAATTCCTCCCCACCATCCTATATCTCTAGGTGGGGGTCATGTCGTCCCACCCAGTACAAGTTGCAGCTCAGAAAACTACGCCCCTAGATGTTGTCAGATGAGCGCACCCACCCATCTATTGACCAGTCGCATCCACCCACTGTCATTTTATCATATGATGAAACACCTTGTGCTTGCGTATAAAGTATGATGACGATACATTCCACTTTCGACGGAAACAAGAGAAAGATCACGATATTAACTTTACTTTCTCCGTTGAGTCTTCAATATGATTTCTTCTCATCATATCTTGGAGCGCTCGATGTGCTCGTTTGAGAAATGCGCATGGTTAAAATATCGACATGGATACGATACTTGTTTGGACATCGAGTAACGTGTGAAGGTTTCTCCAGAAAAAGTGGCACGACTAGGAAAGGTTCGTTAGTTTGCCTTGGAGCCAGGGTCACTGATATACCGACCATCAGTAAACTCTTTGTATTGAAAAAAAAAAGCAGTTTCCTGTCGGTGACGTCTTCTTCCAATGAAATGACCTTATCCTTGCCAAGAAGTGTGTAATTGTCCATTTCGTGCCACACAGATGTGGTAGGCTTGATCTGTTGCCGTTGTGGGTAGCAGATCGAACCCTTGGCAGTTTGGTGGAGTTCCGGATCTGCTGGAAAACAGACCGTTGGAGAACTCTGACATTCAGGGATGCCATTTCATAAACTAAATGAGAGGGGGTTATGAGTAGGATAGGGGTTTGTCTCCCCTTTCCCCCTAGCTTCCCCGAAATGACGTCTCTGCTGACATTGAAATTATGTTGGACCAATGGGAACATTATCTACAATAACTCAGAAATGTAGGATGTATAAACGTCTCAGCACAGGAAGTTGCAAGAATGCAGTTCATTGACTGAATCAACCCTTTCCGGTAAACGGTAATGACCTGCAAAAGAAAAAGATGAAAAGTAGTGACGGAAACTGTAGATCTCATTCATATCAACATTTAAAATTATGCTTACATGCAGTTTCTTTCACGGTTCCTGTCTACGCGGTGAAGTTTTCTTCTGAAACTTTTTCCGATAACTTTTGGAAGATCCTCGTATCTTGTCTCTTGAGCAAGAGTCTTATTGACATCCATTGCAATTTTTAATTATTGGCTACCGTGTACTTTTACTTCCGAATGTCCTGGTCCAAATGTGAAAGATTGCATCCTTTCGGGTGATCTCTACTTTGATCCTAAATTTTCCTATTTGCAGATATCCTGGAAGGCAGCGTGGGCCTTTTCAGCAACTTCAATCTGTGTCACATTCGAACTATCAACTGGGACGATATAATTACCGGTGTCGATGCCGGATTTGTCTATCGGTACAATTTCTCTGAACCTGAACGGGATTGTCCGACTTGTGATAAAAGTTGCAAAGTTGGGTGTTGGGGTTTGGGAGAGGTGAATTGCCAGAAGTTCTCTCGGGTCTACTGCTCTCCTCAGTGCCATAACGGTCGTTGCTACGGACCAAATCCCCGAGAATGCTGCCATCTCTTCTGTGCCGGTGGTTGTACCGGCCCCACTCAGAGCGAATGTCTCGTGAGTCCAGTCATATCGATAACAAACCTCTTGCTATTTTAGGACTTTCAGCCTTCCACATTGGATAAAGAATACTACATGCGTTGTCTGTTGCAGGCATGCCGCAACTTCTACGATGATGGTGAGTGCAAGCAAGAATGCCCTCCAATGCAGATTTATAATCCTTCTACGTATTCCTGGGAGGCAAATCCAGATGGGAAATACGCGTATGGTGCTACTTGTGTCCGTGAATGCCCAGAACACCTCCTTAAAGACAATGGCGCCTGTGTCCGATCTTGCCCTCCTGACAAAAAAGTCAATGTGAGTTTTGAAGCTGACATTTTAGTATTTTGACTTTTTCTAGCGCCGAAGAAACTGCAGTTCATTTATAATAATAATAATAATATATTTTTTTTTTAGGCCGATGAAGGCGCGTGCGTACCTTGTGATGGTCCCTGTCCAAAGAAGTGCTCTGGTGTGAAAGTCGTGCATTCCGGGAACATAGAGCAGTTCCGGGGATGTACCATACTGTATGGATCCATATCAATCATGGAACATTCCTTTACTGGATTTCAGGTGAGATTTTTTAATTATTCTTTTTATTTAGTGAAAAATAGAAAAATAAGAGAAATACAGCTTGAAGCGCTTCAGAGAAGTTGAATTCCTGAATGCAGGATGATAATTCAACGTTTTTTCAAATTAAAAGTGGTGAAATGATGATATTTGTGGTGCTTTTTAGGACGTGGATCAAGCATATAACTTTGGACCTCACTATCCCGAAATGCATCCTGATCGACTTGAAGTCTTCTCCACTCTGAAAGAGGTGACCGGGTATATCAGCATTCAAGCATCTCATGAAGATTTCAAAAACCTTTCGTACTTTAGGTGAGGAGTGATTCAGGCTTGTCATTGGTTTTGAGAGATGCACAGAGGAGTGTGGTCACAATCGATACGTGCCTACAGAAGCTACTTGCTTTTAGATCTCTCTGATTGTTATCATTTGAATGCTCCTCTTCGACAGGAATTTGGATGTAATATGGGGTCGACAGCTGACAGAAGACTTTGCTGCTCTCTATATCATCAAGAGTTCCCTAGAGACCTTGGGATTGCGGTCTCTGAAGCAAATCAAGGCTGGAGGGATTAGCATTCTGGAGAATGAGAAATTGTGCCTTGCAGAGTCTATGAACTGGACTCTCATTGAGGGTACCCGGGCCGACAGGATGATCCTCTCAAGTAATAAGCCAATGGAGAAATGCTGTACGTATCCCATGAGAATGATCTTAGTTCTTGAATGTCTGGTGTAGATCTTTTGGAGGGGCTTTTCAATGTTGCCATCTCATTTCATTACAGTGAAAGATGGTATCATGTGTGATGACCAATGCACTGCTGATGGGTGCTGGGGAAAAGGACCAGACCAGTGCCTTGCTTGTGCCAATTTTCATCTTGATAATACATGCATCGGTTCCTGTGATTCTCATCTCGGGTATGATAGCCACTCACTCCCCTTCCTTCGCCTAAATGTTACACGCTGGCAGTTCTATGAGAGTACACTTTCCTATCAGATTGTATATGGCTGAGGAGAAGACATGCAAGAGATGCCATGAAGAATGTAAAGGCGAGTGCACCGGTCCAGGACCAGACAACTGTGTGGAGTGCAAACATGTCAGAGACGGGCCTTACTGTGTGCCTGCTTGTCCAGTATCCAAGTACAACAGTAGCAATGCGTGTCTTCCCTGTCATGAGACATGTTATGGAGGATGTAAAGGTCCAGAGCATACTATTGGGGACAATGGTTGTAACTCCTGCGAGAAGGCCATCATCATAGAGGACCAAATTGTGAGTAACAGTATTGCATTATTTCCGTTTTATCATGCTTATTGTCTCGTTGCCAATGTGCCTCTGCAGATGCAGAATTCATTTGAACATCTTAATAATACTTGGTAAAACTTGGTGATACTTAAATCAACGCAATAATTTGTTGTCAGGAACGATGCCTAAAGAAGGATGAACCGTGTCCTGAGGGATATTACTACGAATGGGTCAGTCAAGCTTTGGGTTCTCTGCAACCCATGGCTGGACGTCCCATCTGTCGCCAGTGTCATCCACGGTGCAAGCAATGTACTGGCTATGGGTTCCATATTTCCATTTGTCAGCAGTGTGAGCATTACAGAAGAGGAGAGCAGGTGAACTTACTTTCAAGAGTGTATTTACTTTGGCTTCACCAGTTTCCCCATATCAATTGTTTTGTCCATGCTTGCTGCTTCAGTGCGAGGAGGAGTGTCCATCAGATCACTATGCGGATGAGGTGCGCGGAGAGTGTCTACCTTGCGCTGAAGAATGCCGGGGGTGCACAGGACATCTTGTCACACAGTGCAGAGCTTGCCGCAATTACAGGATCTATTTGGTAAATGGCATTCCTCAAAGCAATCATTAATAAAAAATAAAGAAATCATTATTGAGACTTTTAGAATACTGATCATCCGTTGTGGCAAAAGCGTATACGCCTATTATAGTCATGATAACCATGTTGTAGTGCGCAGTATGATGATGTATAATCCAGATAAGAGATGCATTTTATGAGGTCTTGGAGTCAGAACCATAAAGAGTCTCAACCTAATAACACCCAGGTGTCTTCATCTGTTTGAAGAGGACTGAATGTCACAAGGACCCTAATTCAGATAATGCTTCGTATGGTAACAAGATAAGGCCAGGATGGTGTACTTACCTATGCTATCCCTGAGAACCAAGTTCTTATCATCCTCTCATCCCTATCTCAAGATGATAAAAATGAGCACTGGATCCTGTCTAAAGCTGCTACCCCCGCAATGGTTTCCGTTACGACGAAGTCAATGTCAATCTGCTTTCCCTATGCATTCTGAAATCATGAAACTGTAAACTTGACTTTCGACATAATGATATTTATGTAAAGAAGATATATGAACTTTTTTGCCTCAGTGAGACCAGTATGATTTTTTAAAACTTATTGCTTATCAATTCCTGAAATATGGGATTTATTCTTACAGGAGGAGGCAACTAAGGAGAAGCCAAATCCAGCATTCAATTGCACTGCAGCGTGTCCTGAAGATTTTCCGTACAAAGTGTTCCCAGAGGATGAATCTGACCCATACTGTGCACATGATGCATATCATGATAGGTATAAGTAAGTTTATTTCATTCACAGGCTCTCTGAATATTTTCTTTCGATTATTCTATCATTTGAAGAATACTGGTGGATCTAAGTGAATGAAAGAGTAAAGCTTTGGTTCATGTGTATACTGCTTGCACTGGATCCCCTCTGCACTAAACAAACTCCTGACCTTCAGTTTCCATGATGAATGCTATTTGTGTTTCAGGGAGGAGGAGAAGATTCCAATGATCTTGGGACTGGTATTTCTTGGAGTTGTCCTTCTGTTTATGCTTATGGGCTTCATTGGATGGAAGTTTTGGCAAAGGGTTAAAACAAAGTCTAGTGAAATGTGGATGACGAATCGGATGAGTGGCTACGAAGAAGAACCCCTGAGTCCAACAAACATCAAGCCCAACCTTGCCCAACTGCGGATCGTCAAAGAGGCAGAACTACGGAAAGGTCGTGTTTTGGGATATGGAGCCTTTGGAACAGTGTATCAGGTAGGGTGTGAATACATATGCATGTTTGCGAGGTACAGGAAGGAAAAGAAGATCCTTTAATTATGTGCTGCTGTCTTTCTTAGGGGGTCTGGGTACCTGAAGGAGAAAATGTAAAGGTACCAGTTGCCATCAAAGTGCTAAGAGAAGGCACAGGAACAAACACAAACCGTGAATTCCTTGGAGAGGCCTACATCATGGCCTCAGTTGTTCATCCCAACCTTCTTCAAGTAATCTAGGCTTTTCATTCGATGACTGTTGTCCTATTGTCAGAGTGCAGAACTGCATTGTAACACAAGGGATTGTTCTCTCATAGCTCCTTGCTGTGTGCCTGACTTCTGAAATGATGCTGGTCACTCAACTCATGCCACTAGGGTGTCTCCTTGACTATGTCCGGAAGCACAAAAATAAAATTGGATCCAAGATCATACTGTCATGGTGCACGCAGATTGCCAAAGGTGAATATTGATGTTTTCCCATGATGATATCATGATGCTCTTGAAGAATTGGTACTCCTGGAGGTGTTTCTTTTCTAACATGCACAATTCCTTTATTACAGGCATGGCTTATTTGGAGGAGAAACGGCTGGTCCATAGGGATCTTGCAGCTCGAAATGTTCTTGTTCAAACACCAAGGCACGTGAAGATCACTGACTTTGGGCTGGCCAAGCTGTTGGAATTGCATGAAGATGAATACAAGGCAGCAGGTGGCAAAATGCCCATCAAATGGCTTGCTTTGGAATGCATCCAGCACCGTATCTTTACCCACAAAAGTGATGTCTGGTCTTTTGGTGAGTGTGACGATTCCATTTTGCTGGAATAGGAAATCTTCACATCCAGCAGCTATCCAAACGAAAAACGTTCTCCTTCCCTGCCCGTACAGGAGTGACTCTGTGGGAGATCCTGACGTATGGTGAGAGACCATATGAGGGGGTGCCAGCTCGACAAGTACCTGATCTCCTGGAGAAAGGAAAACGCCTGCCTCAGCCCAGCATTGCCACAATAGATGTATACATGATACTCATCAAGTGCTGGATGATTGATGCAAATTCAAGACCGCCTTTCAAGGAACTCTCAGAAGAGTTTGCCAAAATGTCCAGGGATCCTGGACGTTACCTGGTCATCAAGGGTGACCAACTCATGAAGCTTCCCTCATATACTCCCCAGGTGAGATGGACTATCCCCGACTTTCATTGAACTTGTACGATGAAGAGTATGCAGAGCCAGATGTTATGGATCTCGTTTTCTCAAATCAGGATGAAAAGGAGTTGATAAGAAGCTTATCTGCAGCCTGTGATGGGCCAGAGCAGGTGATGGATGCCGAAGAATACCTTCAGCCAAAGAATGAAGGAGGAATCAGGAATGGGATCATGAGCACAAGTACAGTATCCACGTGCAGTTCTCAAGGCCCTACTACCCCCTCTCCTCCTGACTATAATGCACTTCAAAGTCTTCAGCGACACCATCCACCTTATTCATCACGTCATCCCGGTACATTTTTAATCCTTTACTTTTTTATGCCTATAGTTTTGGAGCATTTTTAAAATACCAAGGTGAGAAAAGCCTTTTTGGATGTTGTTGGATATCATGCTTTTATCATTCCATTATTCAGCACCTGCTTTTGGTTGAAATTTACTGCAAACTCATACCCTTTCCGTGATTGGTAATCCCTGCAAGATAAAGGCATTTTATAGATACCAATTGACTCCAGATAAAGAGCCTCAAATATAATGTGATTCAAAGTGCCATTGTTCCTAGTTGTCCTGGTGGAAAATAAGGAAAAACTTGGCGCTTTTTTTATAACGTTATTTCTGAGAGATAACGTTATAAACGCTTCCCCTCAGCACGAGTTGAGAGTAATGTTAAGCTGAGTGTCCTCAAAGTTGGGGTCGTGAACGATATCCCCCGAGGCTCCGTCTTCCGACCACTTATTTTCTCGTTTACATTCATGATTTAGATCGAAGTTTTTTTTTCCGGTGAGAGCTGTAAGTTTTTCGACGACACGAAAATAGGTTTCTCCGTCTTGCAGGAGGATAGGGCGAGAGTCTGAGGAGTTACAGCTTTTGAGCGATTGGAGTATACATTTTTTTGGATCATGAAATTTCAATAAGAGTAAATTCAAAGACCTTCACATTCCCTATAAGGACGATGAGTCTCTGAGTTGACATGAGTTGGAGAGGCGAACGGGGAGATTTAGAGGTTATCATCGATGAGGGACTGAAACTCGCGAAGCACGAGCAGGCGACCCTAGCAAAACACAAGACGTTCGGCTTAATCCAGCATTCTTGGCAAATCGTGGACTCCATTCACGTGTGGTCTCTTTTTTTCTCCAGCCTTTCTTTCGTCAGGTGACGTTTTCGTTTGTCAGATACGACACGGTGACAATGCAAAGTCAAGAACATTCCAATACGACTCCAGCTATAAGAAGCAGGGTTTTTGACGTTAAATGAGACACATTTATTGAACAATGCTGAGTCTGCTGCAGCCCAATGCGCGAAAAAGCTTACTTTTTTCTAAATCGAGTTTCAACGACTGTTGGTCTTTATCTGAAATGATCACATCACAAGTGAACATTTTAAAACTGAATCAGTGGTCAAAATAAGTCAGTCACATCTGAATATAAGATTGAAAACAAAAAATTCACCTAAACGCAATTGTGAGCCAGACGGTCACACCAGCAAAGGATAGGGATAAAGAGGGAGCATGTAAGATCAACAACTTTTAGCCTGTAATATTTCCACTCCCACTGGATGACCCAGTGTCCAATTGCCTGGAAAAATGCAAGAAAAATAGGAAGCCCTCCATTGATCCAAGATATCGTAGATGCGAGAGCTAAGATGCTCGTGAATACGTGAATCGTGATGCTCGTCCCTGCTTGTGAAAGTTGGCTATGATATTCTTGACTTCCGTTTTGTGTAGGAGGGGAAGGAGAGATGATTGGCAACTTCCACGTGGGCTTGAGCTTGCAGTTGGATGAGGATGACTATCTAATGCCCTCGCCTCCAAACCTCAATGTTGAGGGCTACATGGACCTCATTGGCGACCCGACCAAAGCATATCCAAGAGGTAAGTCCTGTCTAGAATGATTTTTATGACCTCTTAAACTCTCACTGTTAATATCCAACTCGTCAATTCCTCATGACGTGAAAAGTGTCCTGCGTGGCCTTATCTAAATTGAACACTGTGATTTCAGGGGACGGTATGGGTGGCTGTATGGGGTTGGACAATCCTGAATATCACATGATGAACCGTGGTGTCCACGTCGTGCATCCGATGATGTCTCATCCTCATCTTCATCCCCATCCTCATCCACAGCAACATCCACTTCCACAGCAGCATCCACTTCCACATCAACATCCACTTCCACATCAACATCCACTTCCACATCCACATCCAAGTGTCTTCGACGAAGAATCCGAGGACCATGACTATTATAATGAAGTGGACAGACTCTGCGGTGAGAGAAGGCCATTGGCATGCAATGAGACCACCGTCTGACACCAGGCAGTGTCCGTGCCTCTTCCTCCTACGCTTATCTCATACAGTTGAGGTTCATGTGATGATGTTCAAAACCCTGTCACTTTCGTTTGACAGTCTTTGTAAAAGAGTGTCTGTTAAGGTGCGTTTGTGTGTTTTTTTTTAAATTCAGATTCATGAGTTTTTTAAGAATAGACTTTTAAATAAAAATCCTATTATTGTTTTTATGAGTCTCACATTCCTTGGTGAAGGAAGGGAAGACAGATGGTGAGTGGGTAAACCCACGAATTGGGTCACGATCGTTCACAAACATGGGCTAGGCCCCAAAAGGTGGTTTGGGACTTAGCACTGAATGAAAGATTGGAACGGCGGTAGTAAGATGTAAGATAAGATTCATAGTTTCCTGGGAATGAGTCTAGTCTCAAATATTTTCCTTGTCATGACAGGGACAATATTTGAGGACGAGACTAGAAGAACCTCTGCCAACATCGTGCTGCGAATATGTTTTATTTATGAACTTATAAGACCGAGGTGAGGGAATTACGCTGCTGCTCTGACGTGAGCGTGTCCTTTGCCCTCTGGGACTTAGCATCGCTGTGATCCCGACACGCAAAGAAGAATGAACTGTCCAGGTGTCTTTCTTTATAACGAACTTCATTAAACTTAGCATGGGTGTGGTAAGGGGAGTGCTCAGCTCTCATGGCATTTTTGCTATCCGTTATGAGCATTCTCAAGCATGTCATTGATTAAGCAGGAATGTGAGGAGGCATTTATTGCCAGGTGTTGCCTATATATAGAGAAGACCTTGGTGGCCCTGATGAATGATTCTGCCCGGGCAAGAGTCCAGGAACCAACCCACAGGTTCCATGTCCGTGAAGTGCCATTATTTAGCAATAGACCCCTTGTCGTTGAGTCGCGCACCGCGCATCTCTCCTTGATCTTTTAGATGCGGCCCCTGTACGCATAGATAAAGCCCATGAATACGTCTTGACTGCAATCATGTGTCCTAGAACTTTTTCAATGGTTGGTTCCAATCATGCATGCAAGCCTCTATCCCATTCTCAAGACAGATTTGGCAGCGAAGCAAGGGCAAACCCTGGCTGCTCCCCCTTTCTCTGGCATAAATCCATCCGTGACTATGGAAGCCCGTGCGCTCCACAATTACCACCCTCGGCTATGGTTAATTTATACTAATGAACCAAGGTATAATACGAGTTGCAACCTGTAGATAACGAATTCATGCATGGAATTCCTGTAAGCGAAAGAATCTGCCAGATTGCCTTGCAAATGATGTCATCGTGTCGTTTCCCTCCATGATCTTTGCATTTTCTGTTCCAATGAGACTAGTGCGACAGACCGGAAAAGAAACGTATGCCACCCTCGAGTGATAAGAAAATGAATTGAAGAGTTATGTTAAACATTTTTTAAATCAACAGTTTACAAGAGCCTCGACACTGTTCAGTTCGCACCTATGCACTCTTGTGCTCAGGTTCCTGCGATACGTACAGGCTGTCTCAAAAATTATCGCTGCAAGATTCGATTTTTCTTGCACTATCTTGGACTTAAAAAATTCCTCAAGCATTAAAACAATGGTAAAAGATAAAGCTCTCTTACGTTACAAACTGCATGAAAATTGATCAATTTTGAAGCGAGATTCGAAACAAATAGATTATCTCCGTCACTGAAATACGCATTAAAGGCGTGCTCCAAGGCATGTACCACACTGACCCCCAATACACCTTCAGGCGGTTTAAGTCATTCTCAACGACTAACTTCTTTCTCCGCTCATTTTTTAGACTTTTATGCAACAAAATTCTCATGAAACCATAGCAACCAGCAGTGCAAAGTAAAATTGAATGCTTTGGGTTCATGGATCCCTAGCACATCTGACTGTTGCATCGCTGGAACCTTGACCAGGTAGCGAGCGGTGGCGAGCTGGTGTGTCGCTCAACGTTGCTAGTGCCCATTTTCGCTTTCAATATATTGCTTCAGAATTGGTGATTTTTCATGCGGCTTTTATTTAAATAAAGATTAATATTCCTTCTTTTTAATTACTTAAAGTTTTATTTAATTTATTTCAGGATGATGCATAGCAAGAAAACTCAATTACTTTATATGTAAACTTTTTTTTAGACAGCCTGTATAAGGTGAAGGTCTCTGCAGACTGCGAGTGAGATTTCACATCTCTGCATACAAACACAGGAAATAGAGGAGTGAAAGTGAGAGAATCTCCCACTGCTTGGAAAGTGTGGGAGGCGCGTAGTATCTCAGCCAGCGGACGAAAGGCATCAAGACGATGGTCGCGCATCCGCTTCCGTTCAATATGACAATACTTTTCCTATACTTTTTAGACATGTTAATGCTTGGTCATAAATAAAAGGGGAAATCACCGATTCGCATCATGAGTCCATAAAGATATTCGTTTCTTAATGAAAGGGCTCATTTAAATGTGCAGGTAGCGAAACAGTACTTTAAAACAAATGAGGGAAAGCCTTGGAAGTATTTTTCCTTCCCAATGGTGGGGCACAGGACACCAACAACGGCGGTGCAACAGTGAATAGGTCTTCCTTTAGAAGAACACCCGAACGAGTGCTGATGATCGTTAATATTCGTTGCGATGAATTCATCGTTTTTCTAATTTCTGTAAATTCTTCCATGATAGGGAAATTGCATTGAAAGTAACACTTGTCAATATTTTGCTCAACTTGAGGTTTGGCCTACCAGTTATGAAGATGACTGCATTCCCTCAGCACGATGATGAGTACTTCTTAGCACTGGTTCGGTGAACGTCCAACGATTTTCCGACGATTTCCGACGATTCCGATTCATTTTTCACTTCCCAGGGGAAGAGGTGTTTCAGATATCGTTGTGCGTGTAGATGGCGAGGTAGCAGATACAAAATACCTCGACAACAAGCAAGTTTTTCTTGCATCAAATGTTCACGGCGTGGATTAATGAGTAATTGCAAGCGTTGGTCCAAAGCAGGGAAGGGTTACAGATGGTGGTGTGGATCTTGTTGACGGGACAATACTTTTCTATCGAATCAATGCCAGTAGCATGAAATGGACTGTACGAACGATCTTTCATTTCTTTGAATTGTCTGCATGAAACTCCAGGATCAAATGTCAAAGAGACAGTACAAGTCAAGGAGTGGATGCAATGAAATTCATCCATTTCAAGGACTCCTACTTTTGGTAGATGCAGAAGAACTTGATATTCTGTGCACTAGTGCAAAAGATGAAGATACAGAATCGGACCTGAATTGGACCTAGAAAAAAAATTGGAAGCATCGGGAAGAGGAAGCCCCGAAAACCATTGCCGAATCCTTCAAAGAGAACAAAGGGGTGCCCAGCATTTGCCTCTTGTTGATGACAGCCATAAAGCTCATCTGTGATGCCGAAGTCCGAAATATAACAAAAAGACAAGAAGGAAAGGGTGAAAAGTGTGACCGTTACTTGTGCCTGAACACCGAGAGAAAGTGCTTCAGCTGAGGTCAAAAGTCTTTTCGATTATTTTCCCGTTCGAATTGTTTTTCGATCAGCTTACCTTGGAATGTTAGGATGATGTAACTCGGTGAAAATCGAGAGGAATGTAGATGGCCATTAACGCCATGGAGTTCGACCCAGTGCGTTCGATTCGAGCAGAAATTTCTCTGTGCACGTCTTTTTTTAAAATTATTTGATAGTCATTAACAAGGGATAAAGGACGCCTTTTTGCTTCTATGGGAATGAGGAATCCCTCTTTGCGGACTTCGAAATGTCGTCTCTTTCGAAGGAAGCAGCTGCTGTTCGAATTTCATGGATTTTACGGGAAGGAGAACTGACGAGCAGTTCGTGTTGCCCTCATGCAGGTACTTGATGGAGATGCTTTCGAATTGCGACTTAGAACGAATTAATCCGTGACTTGATGTGAGTGATAGCATTACAAATTGGAGGGACGTCGGAAACGTGTCGCAGCTAGAGGAACTGACCCGTTTAGGTAGAATGCAAAGGTCTCATAAACCTTATGGGATTCCTAATGATACGCGAGTAGAAAGGATTGAATAGCAGCTCTTCAATGACCTGAGTCGGTGCCTTAGTCCCCAGAAAGTTTCTTCTGCATTCGTGCATGGAAAGATTCAGAACATCAGCGTCGGACTACGGTGGGAAAGATTCCTAGATGGACTTTCGAATGGAAGTTGGCCTGCTTACCTGCTCCCATTGGCCTGCTCCCATTTCGCAATGAAAACTTCCTGTTGCTCGAGTTTCCAGCATTCTGAATGAATGCTGTACACCTAGGTGGTCTTGGCAAGAAATCTGGGAACCACCTGCAGAAGAGAGAGAGACAAGAAACGCCCACTGCGAGCAGAACGGACGGGGTAAACAAAAAAATTTTTTTAAGGTACGAGACGTGCAGAAAAGGATCGGATTCCCGACCTCACTATCTCACGAATCTCGGTGATTCCTCACATTCAAGACTATGCCTTCGCTCCCTCCTTCGGAAAAGTAGGGCGCCATCGGGCGACTGTCGGTTTAGTGCGATTCGTCCTCCATAGACCAGGTCGGACGAGGCCGGGTAGGCAGCGAGGCAAGGACAACCGAAGCTATTTCAAGAAAACTAATTTTATCCG